CTTTATCGTTTGAAAATAGTCTATTATTCCGGCTAATTATTATCTATTTTATTATTAATTAAAGGTAATAGATATAATGATTGATTTAACTTACATTAACGGCGGGTTGAGAGCCTAGTAAATTTTGATTGATTATAGTAGTTAAAGAGAGGATATAAGAACAATAGTAATATTATACGTAATACTATACTGGTATACGCTAGTTTTCTGAGGTTGTGAAGTTGTGCGCGATAGGTTCAACGTATAATGTTCTAATTTAGCGAGTTTGTGTATTATAATAAGGAAGAAGAAGAAGAAGAAGAAGGAGGAGGAGGAGGAAGAGGAGGAGGAGGAAATAAGCTAGAAATAATTTAGTACGATTGATTTCTGAGGTAGCCGGTAAGGTAGTGAATAGTGTATCAATATGGGGTAGTAGATTCTATTTGATTCTATATTGCTTTATCGCTGCGGGTGTTTAAAACGGTCTTTATATTATTTGCGCTAAAGGACTAGATGAAATGGCGGAGTAATGAGGATTAATAATATTCATTAATATTAATAAATAGTAATAGTATTAATAGTATTACGGCGTTTATTCGATAATTTTGGGTAGGTTTTGAAGGCAGCTTGTTAATTGTAGGGCAATAATCTTTTAAGCGCGTTCTAGATTATAATAAAAAGTAATTTTGGTAGGGGAATGTAAATAGGGTAGTTAATAGAAATAGTTAGATTATTAAAGAGTAACCCTCCGCACACCCACCCTATTCCCTACATACACCCAAAACCCAAAAATTGTAGGACCATACAGCTAATAACACCTGACATTGTAAATCTCGTTTTCGAATTATTGTCACGGCACGTAGACTAGGCAAGTGGCTGGCACTGCTAATCTAACGAATCTAATAAATAATTAACTATGGGAAATAAAAGAGAAGAAGAGAAGTGCTGCCTCTGGCTGGCACGGTTAAATACAGGAAGGAAGCGGGTCCTAAGGAGGAATACAGCTAATCAGACAACGAGCCTAGATATAATAAGGATACACCCAACTAAAGGGCGTAGATAAGAGTACAGACTGCGGGAATAGTCTTAGCAATCTTAGCAACCAATCTGGCTCAACTATAACATTACCCCCCCGGCGGAAGAAAGATTTAGACCTAGAGTCGACTAGAACCACCAGAATTGTATATATCCATATGAAAACCAGTAAGGCTCTCAATACCAAGATTTTAATAAACTTCAATTTCAATCCTATATATTTGGTATAAATCCTCCATTTAATATAATTAATCGAAGAAAAGATAATGCCGGTTTTATAATAGCGGAACTATTTCGATATCGAATAAAAAGAAAAAGTATTGTACAACGTCGTAATTCTCCATATAATCCATCCCTTATACTAGTAGTTAATAGCCATTAAGGTACTTATAGAGACTTAATATTATATATATTGGTCTTATACACGCTAACTAGCTATACTAGTCTACCTAGGGGGGTATGCGGTGCTGCTTCGTTCGTAGTCTAAGGGAAAAACTGTGTTGTTGAAATCCGGATGAAAACCCTCAGCTTCTCTATATCCAACCCTAACCCTAACCCGAACCCTTCGTCCCACCTCACCGTAGGGGGCCCGGGGAACCTTAATTACTTCTTTCGTTTCTTCTCTCGGTATATTATCTCTTTAATCCCGGTAGACTTCGCGGCTTCTAATTAGTTAGTTCCTTAAAGCCCCACTTCCCTACCTAATACTTCGGTAACGTTTTTTCTTTATTCCGGAAGCGGGTATTCTTCTTTTATCTTATTTTTAAGGTAGGGGTAGGGAAGTAGGGTTTTACTTTCTTTAGTTGAAATCTTCGTCTTATTTTTAATTAACTAGGATTTTTGGTAAGATGACGTTAATTAATCCAATATCGTAGGACTAGACGGGTTCTATCCGAGCGGAACCGTAACTCTAGAATAGATTTCGGAAGTAGGGTTCCAATTCCTAAACCCTATTAGCGGAACAGGGAGGCCGGCGTATTTTTAATTAGAATAAGATTTTTAATACGTGCCTAGTTATGTGTACCTAGGGTTTTAGATTAGGGTGGGCCCCTATATTTGATTTCGTTGTAAATATTCTTCTTCTTCTAAGAGTGTTTAGTGGAGCGATAGCGGGGAAGATCTTTCATCCGATCCGGCGGCGAAAAACCGGATGAAAGGGGGGGGAGCGGGATTCGAACCCACGACCTTTCGGATGAAACCGAAAGGGGGCCAAGCTCAGATCTTCCCAACTGAGCTATCCCCCCGAGACTTAATATTACAAAATTTCAACCTATCCTATATCGAATATCTATTATTTAATCTAAACGTATAATTTTAAAATTAAAAATACAAACGCGAAGTATTATAATATAATTAGCGAATTTAGAACTATAATTCAATCGAAGAAGGATATTAAAATAGATTATTAGTACTAATAAGGTTGAAAGTCGAGAGATGAAATAATGGGAAATAACGTAGAAAATACTTTTATTTATTATTATTAACTTCCTAAAGCAGAAGGAAAGTAATAGAATTATAAGAGATTTAGAGATAAACTAGATTAGTAGGAAAGATCTAATTTAACGTTTAATTTCAGAAGACAAAATAAAACTAATCTGGGATAATAGGAATATTAATTAAATAGATAATAGAGATCTAATTTAATATTTAATTTTGAGAGACGAGGTAAAAAAGCCGGATCCGGGACAATAGGAGTATTAACTAGAAGCGCGGTATCAATAATAATATTTATAATATTCTTTTAACTTCTTTATATACGCGCTTTAAAGAGTAAAGACGAATGGTTTTTCTTAATTAGTTAATAAATTCTAAAAAACACAAGGATTAAAAATAAGGAAATTGTAAAAACGCAATTTTCAATCTAGAAATACGAAAAGGATTATAAAAAATCTAATAAATAGTAATAGCTTTTAAAATAAAGCGCTAAAATTATAGAAATAGGAAAAGTAAATTGAATTAGGCAGCGGGATTAATAATATTTAATATAAGGGATTTAAATTATTAGTAATAAGGTTAAAAGTTTAATTAACTACTAAGCGGCTAGTTGAGTAGTTATAATAATCGAAATAGTATTAAAAGAATTAAAATAGTAATAAGATAAGAAGAGTAGTACTAATTGAATAGTACCGATAATATAGGGTTAGAAAAAAGAAAATCCGGGTTCGGGACAGTTCTATTGGCGTAGCGAACCCTAGGGTTACATATAATCCTTTACTTTTAATTATAAACCTTCTAGTACGCTAATAACATAATCTATATAATACCTTACGTATTTCGCCTTAGAGTATTAGGGTATAGAACCCTACTAGTAAAGTAGTAAGCGCCCTATTCAATTATATATAGAAATTGGGTTCCGTTAATTGGATAAATATTAATACACTAACTTTACTCTCAGCGAACGATTAAAGAAAGAGAGAGAGATTATAATCGCTAATTAATTAATAGCAATAGAGCTCGCTAGAGCCAATTAGAAAAGGGATAATTAATTAAATATCACGGCACGTAAACTAGGCAAGTAGCTAGCACTACTAATCTAACGAATATAATAAATAATTAACTATGGGGAGTAAAAGAGAAGAAGAGAAGTACTACCTCTGGCTGGCACAGTTAAATATAGGAAGGAAGCGGGTCCCAAGGAGGGATGCAGCCAATCAAACAACGAGCCTAGATGTAATAGGGATATACCCAACCAGAGGGCGCAAATAAGAGCACGGACTGCGGGAGCAGTCTTGGCAGTCTTGGCAACCAGTCTGGCTCAGCCATGACAATTATTTCTTTCACGCTTTTTCATACAGTTAATTACACCCATCACCGCCAGCTATTTATACGTCGCATACCAATAACGTCGTATACTAATACTTATTACTATCCCTACTATATTTAATCTCGCTCAAATTATTCCCCCTTTGTTTTAAATTATCTATAGAAGGCCTTAATTGCGTATAGAGAGCCAGAAATTTAATTAAGGTCCCTAAGGTAACCTGCAATACGAGTAAGATTACACCCAAAACACGGTTATTTACATGCCAGCTGCCTTGGGGATTTTTGGGTGTATGTAGGGAATGGGGTGGGTGTGCGGAGGGTTACTCATAGATAATGTAGCGCGGGATTCTCGTCCGTACTGGGCTATATATAGTACCGTAGTGTAGTTCCGTCGAATCGTACACGTGCCTCTACGGCGTTTAGGCGTTTCCTCTTCCTTATTGCTTCGGCGACCTTCACGTGCCATCTCGCTACCCATTCTCTTCTCGTCGCCTCTTCTAGCCACTTCTCGGTACTAATATAATAAGTATAAATCGAAGTTCCATTACCAACCGTATAAATTACTAGATAGGGGAATAATTATATATCTATAAACCATTCAAAGTAGTTAAAGATATTATTTAAATAATTATAATCATAAATAACCAGATTTCGAATATTATTTAATTATTGAAATTACTTTCGAGCCTATTATCCTTCAATAAGATTACTATAGGCATATTAAAATTGAAGTTAATATTGAAAAGAATCGATTAATTAATTATTCTAATTACGGTCAATACGCTCAATAATATCGGTTAGGGGCTCTAATAAAAATCTATATTGCCACCGCCCAAACCGCTTAAACCTATAAATATTCTACCTCTATATAATAAAATAGAATTAGTAATAGTGGCGGGAGTAGTTAGATTAATCGAAACATTATTAGCGAGAATATTAGTACTAGCGTTAGTAGCGACGGTTATCTTCTTAGCCAATATCTCCTTCTTAGGCCTCTGAATATTAAGCGCCTTCTTAAGGAAACAAACCCAATAGACGTCGGCCTATTTATTAATATAGTAATTATAAGAGACGTACTTTTAATTAGTATAGATCTTTCTAGTATAACTAGTATAATCGATTCTCTTATCGTCCTTCTTCTTATCAATCGAACCCATATTATTATTCTTACTAGCATTATTATTAACTAACTTCTAAATATTAACGTTAATATTAGTACAGGACTCGACATTGCCAATATTACCGAATTTAACTAAGAAAATACCGATATCTATTTCGTTAACCTCTAAAGTAATTACCCAATATCTAGCATTAATAGGGTAAACAATCTTTACAACATTATAAAGAAAAATAACCTTAAAATCCTCATTAATCTTAAACTTAACGTCTTTAATATACTTATAGAGCAAAATATAACGGATAAGGAAAGAAACTATAGTATCAAAATTAATACGCTTAATAGCCAAATACTTAGTAAGGACTTCGCTACGAACTTCGTTAGTAATACGGATAATATAAAACTAAATGAAATTATACGTAACCTTAGGGTTTCTACTAGTTTTATCCTATTTATTAATAATTAAAATTTTAATAACGGCGGGGGTCTTAAAAATAGAAAGTAGAATCTTATTAACGTTAGTACGTCTGGTCTACTAAGTATTGTGCTTCTCGGGATCCGTTGCCTTATTAAGTTCTAGTACTATTTCGAAGATATATTTAGCGAAAAAAAAGTAATTAAATTCGGCTGTAAATCCCTAATACTAGTTAGCGATATTCTGATTACCGAGAAGGGGAACTAGCGACGAACTAGCGGTCGTGATTGGTATAGGAGGGTTCAATATATTAGTGATTATTAAGCTAAGATTGTGTATTTGAAAGAGAAGAGGGGTGGGAGTCGCTAGACTAACTACTAGTTGATTTGATAGAATTACTTAATTCGATAATAGATTTAATAGAACCGATAATTAATTTAATAGAGGGGTCGCTGAATAATAAGTATTGGCGAGAATCTTCATATAGCGAGGCTGGCTTGCGGGCGAGCTGGCGAATCGTCAAATAAACGAAGGTCGCGATGGCTTATTGACCCGGTACTGCAGCGCCTTGATGAAGGCATTTACTCCGCGGGCACCCGGGTCGTCTTACACGGGCACCCAACCTTACACGGGCACCCGAATTTACCATTTATTTCACGTAAAATAGCATTTACAAAATAGATTCCAGAGTGTTATAGTTACGTGAAAAAAATAATAATAATATTTAGTAACACGGTTTTATATGGAGATTTCTGTGGTGTGTAATGTCTTGAATATAGGTAATAAAGTTTATAGTATTTATCTATATACTTTGGATAGTTATATTACCCTACTATTTCCTCATTACCTTTACCTACTTCGTCTTTTTAAGTACTAGTAAGCCCAATTGAGCTCTCTCTCTCTTGCATTTAACTATTCGCTTAATTAGGGAGTTCGTTATTAGTATAGCTACCTTAATAGAGTCTAGTACGGGCTCTAACTCTAGCTCTAGCTCTAGCTCTTTTGAAAGTATTTCTAGAGACGATTATTATTGATCTAGAGATAACTACGGCTCTAGTTCTAGCGCGGGCTTTAGTGTACGTTTTGGAGAGGGGGTTGGCTCTGGAGAAGGTAAGAATTCAAATTGTAACTCCAATTCTAAAGAGGGACTAAAATCGATTATTAGAGAGAGTTTAAAGGGTGGGAGTTTAAGAAGTAGGAGCTCTAGAAGCGGGAATATTATTAGCTCTAATTCTAACTCTAATTCTAACTCTATATTTAGTATAGCTATTTAAATACAATCTAGTACTAGCTCTAGCTCTAAATTACTTTTAGATAATATATCCGATTTAGTACTATAGTTAGAAGTATTAGAGTTGACCGGCTCTTGTATACGCTTGTATTTAGTAGCCTTAGTAGAATTAGGGGCTAGTTCGTTAATATTATTATTCTCCTAATAAGATTTATAGTAGTGTACATTCGGTTATAAATAAAGGAGGTTATTAAAATTACTCTATTTAATATAGTTAACCTTCTTACCTCCTTTCTTACTCTTTGGAATTTTTTACTTTACTCTTGTAGGAAGGGTATATTCGTTAGGGATAAATTTAATAGAATATTTGGGGCGGCCTCTCTTTGTAAGTGTAATATAGGGGTTTCGAAGACGCAAGTAGAAATTTGAGGTATTTTACAGTATTAAATTATATTAGTTAGTAATTATATATGGATATATAAATAAATAGATTCAATATATAAGTAGCTCCTTATAATATCAGCGAAGGTATATATAGGTAAGCTTTAATACTTTCTTTATAATTACCCTATTAAATATAATATAGCGGTATAGTAGTTTATATTAGATAATAATACTATAATCCTTATTATAAGGTTTAAGAGTAGGCGGGTCTCTACGTTAATCGGTTAGTATATACTTTTCTACTTAGTGGTATTTACAATTAATCAATTCAAAGGCAATGTAACTAATCTATAGTAGTAGCTTTCCTAAACACGTATAATTGATATACTATTATTGGTAGCGGGTTTTGTGGGATCACCAACGAGATCAAGCGGTTGGATACGATTGATTGAGTGTGTGCTATGGAGAAGAAGAGAGAAAGAGAGGGAGACTGGCGGAGTCTGGAAGGCTAGATATGGTGCGGTCTGGGCAGGGCACAGAGTGGGGACTGGGTTATGCCCAGTGAATGCCGCTGTGCCCAGTGAATGCCAGGGACCCACCAACAGGTTTACTATCTTATAATCTTCTCTTTAAAAGTCTAATATTAATTGGTAACTATTTCTATAATAGCTGTAATAAGCTTATCAATATTACTATTACTATTAAGAAGGTAGTTCTTAATGCTTAGGTTACTTAATTCAATTAGCGATATAACTCTAATACCGAAGTTCCTATACTTCTTAATATAATAGTATGCCTATTGATCCTTAATAGATAGCTAATTCTTCTAGATATATTAAAAAATCAATATTTGATCATCAAATTGCTTTTTTATCCTCTTCTAAGCTGCTTAGAGTTTTAAGTTAGTACTAGTATACATTATAAACTTGAATATAGCTACAATACTATAAGGGTCGTTAGTAATTTTAGTAATAGGTTGAGGGTTAGAGTTAATAGATTGTACAAATAAATAAATCCCTTGATCTACTATATTAAATAAAACTAGATTTTCATATTTATTTTTACCTTCCTTATCCTTAGAATTATTGTTATTATTATCCTTTTGCTTCTTCCACTTCTTTTTAGTATTAAAAAGAATGTTCTTAGTAATATGAAATAAATAGAATTATTATTGGGTATTAGGGAATACTCTATCCAATACCTACTTTATTTCTTAATATTTATTAGTAATGATAACAATTAGCGAAGGTAGATTATAGTATAATCCTAACTCTTTAGTAGCTTTAATAAAAAAATTAAAGGCCTCCTCTTTCTTATTATTAATAGTACTAAAGATATAATTAAATATAGAACTAATAAATAAGATATTTAAAATTTAGTAAAAAGGGTAATAAAACCGGTTAGTATTATATGTATTATTAATTATTATAACCTTAGGGAATATTTTAGTTATATTTATCTAAATTGGGAAGGTAAAAATAAAGCCTAGCAACTGTTTATTATTATTTAGATCTATCTTTTTAATATATTTAATATTATTATTATTAAAAGACTTAATTAAAGTACTAGTAGGGGTATAGCTATGAAGGTCGCGGCGGCGAATTTTTATATATACATTGTATATATTGGCTTGTATATGTACGGATTTAGGAAAATCTTCTTGTACTATAGTAGTAATCTCTCGAATTCGTATAGTATTAAATTTAGAAGTATCGTCAATCTTTTTAAATATTTCTAGCTTTATTTTATAGTGCTAGGGGTACGTAGATGGGTGCTAGGATTGGCCGTAATTATGGATTTGGAAGTCTAGGTTAGAATGTAAGCGAAAGTATTAAAGATTATCGCCTTTAATATCCTTATTTACAAATGTTTCTATTTATACCTATATTTGCGTAAGGTTGTCTTTCGAGTAATTACTGTAGATTCCCGGGGTTTACTATAATAATTATAGATAATATAATATTATATATAGTCTTTAATAGTAATTCTAAGTTTACTACGGCCTTGTGTGCGGTTGATTGCAAACCCGTGAGGCTTCGCCTATTCGTTAATAGCTTTATAAAGAGCCTTAATTGTAGCTGTAGGAGGTATAGTACTAGAGGGTAGATTAATAATCCTATTTCTATAATTAAAGAGTTTATTTTTGGGTTTGCTATTGTTATTGGAGAAGCCTTCCTACTCTTCTTTGTTGTTGTTAGTTGGATTAGTAGCATTGCTATCGCTATCGCTATCTTCAATATAAGTGAGGTCGATAGGTATAACTATAGTTAGTTTTTAGATCGATACTATTATAATCTTTATATAGTTCTGGCACGGTCTTTAAGAAGGTTAGTAATACTTCTAATAATTAATGCGACTAATATTTATATACGTACAGTTGATTCTAGCCCGTTTTGGTATTTATAATTAGTCTAGTTATAAAGAGGGAGCAAAAAGAAGGTTCAAAATTAAGATCTGGCTAGGTATTGAATGTAAGTGTAAGTGAATGGGGGTTCTACTGGTTGACTAGGCTGGGCACTATTTGTATGGAAATGTAGTTGTACGGTTACTATCTGATAGTATTAAAGGGTTGAAAGAAAAAAATCTACACGTTAAACTCTAACCCGCAGGGTGCCCGTATAAGGTTGGGTGCCCGTATAAGACGACCCGGGTGCCCGCGGAGTAAATGCCTTGATGAAGACGAAGCTGGCGATACGCTTGTAGATACGATCACAAGGAAGGTTTGAGAGGGCTCATAACCTATAAGATCACCAACGAGATCAAGCGGTTGGATACGATTGATTGAGTGTGTGCTATGGAGAAGAGGGGAGAGAGAGAGGGAGACTGGCAAAGTCTGGAAGGCTAGATGTGGTGCGGTCTGGGCAGGGCACAGAGTGGGGACTGGGCTGTGCCCAGCCCAGTGAATGCCCGGGACCCACCAATATATAAGTAAGGAATTTTATAAATAGTATTAATTAGGTTAGTATATAAATTAAAGGGATAGGGGAGGAAATTATACTAATCCCAAGGAACTACGAAGTTAAAAAGACTATAGAGGATACGAGCGAGGGGTACGGGCTCTAAGTACGTTAGGGATATAGGGTTAAAGGATAATTTAGAATAGGAAATTTCTACGTTGGAAATTAAATGGATTAGGTTAGGGTAATAATAATTAAAGGAAATTATTTTAAATAAAATCGTAATAGGGAAAAAGGAGGAAGGGAATTAGGAAGGGGTACTACGGGGAAGATTATATAAAATAAGGAAAGGGTCCTTATATTATTATAAATAGGGGTAGAATTGCGGAGTAGGAAATAAAAGGTTGGGGCGGAGGTAATTATAAACGGGATAAGGAGGTAAGGAAATAGAAAAACGGATAGAAAAATAGGATAGGGAAACGGGGAGAGGATAAAGGAAGGAACGGTAAATATTGATATAGAGGGATAATAAAGGGAAGCAACGCTCTAAATTTGGATCCTATTCCTATTATTCTTATTATCCTAATATTAGAATAATATAATAAGAGGAGAGATAAAATTAATTCATTATAAGAGTAAGTAAGAACCGTTATAACTATAAATAAAGTAGGAGCGGTATAAAATCTACGACCAAAATGTAGTTAGGGGTTTTCACCCGGCGGCGCTTAACGCTGTACGGTTTTCCCCTCCAGGGAATTAGAGAAGGACCCCATGCTAATAAGGCACTATAGTTATATAGTACAGGGAATAAGATTATTATTTATTAATTGCTATATACCCTATAGGAAATATAATTCCTAATGTAAATTATTAAATAAATAACTAACTTATCGCTAATAAAAGAAATTCCCTCTTTTTTAATAATAAAATATCCCGCTTTTATACTATTACTATAAATATACTCTAAGGCTCCCCCCTCTCCCCGATCTTATTTACTCTCTTTATTAATCTACTATATTAAAAATTAACTATAATTTTAAATATAATTACAATTAGCTTCATAAATAATATTAATACAATTATAATAGTACGTATTATAAAAGAGAATTACCGGATTCTATAAATAATATAGGAGATATATTTAAAATAAATAAAAATAAGTAGTATAAAATTCAAAGCGAGTAAAATAGAACTAATATATTTTATACGGATAAAAGTACTAGTAATTGTAACCCTACAACTAATTACCCCCTACAACGAATTATGTAACTTTATTACTAAAACTTAAATAATATTGAAAATTGGCTACTTTTATAGTGATTTTAATGATTCAAAATATTATAATCTTATTCCTAATACTCTTAATTAGTATAGAGTACTAATTTGACTACTCTACCTAACTCTTGTAGCAGCCTCGTTACTATTGTTGCCGTAGTAACCCTCCTTTTTTTAGAACCTTATTTTAAGGCTTTATAAATTTGAATAATATTTTTGATATATATAAATTAACTATTACCCCTCTCCTTAACCTTCTTTTTACCTTTAGGCTTTATTGAGTTTAATTAAGTTTATAAATAATAGATTTAGTGTATTATGGGGCTGCTGCCCAGGAGCTGTAGTCTGGGAGCCCTTAAATATATACGATCGTTGCGACCCCTAACTACCGTGTGCGCCCACTAGTATAAAAGTGTAGTCCGCCCTTCTATTTATATATATAGATTTTTTCTTTCTTTGTTGAACCTTTTTAATATATAATTTACTTTATATTTATACTTAGTATATAAGAACTACAATATTAAATTCGACTTCCATATTTGTCACGGGGCGCGAGCAAGCACTAAGCTAAGACTTTGATTGTTGTACGAGGAATAGGAAGAGAATCCTGTGCGCGCACGAGAACTATATAGGGCACGCGTAGGTCCGGTACACAGACCACAGTACGTGTGTACGTGACTTGCTGTACTACACTTAGACAGCTGTAAGCTGGCTGCACCACTGTAGTGCAGCACCCATTTATATATAAGAACATAGCAGTAATACTTATAATACTACCCCCTTCCAAAATAAAGCTCCTCTCTAGAAAATCCGTCGTTATTAATAAAGTAGGCCTTCCCAACCTTCCCGTAGCTATATCCAATCAAATATCGGGAAAATTTCTTACTAAAATAGAAAGTTACTTAGCGCCCGTCGGTGCTTCAACTTTTATTTAAAGGTAAAATACTAATTAAAATATTACTAAATCCGACCTTTCTACTATAAGAACTATTATTACCCCTAATAATCTATCTATATACCGGGAACTAACTTAGAACGCTCTAATTATTATATATAAAGAACTTTAATAATTCTTACTATTACTAACCCTATTAGGGGTACTATAGGGACGTCTATAGTATAATAGTTTATAGGGACGCTTATAACTACTATTAATATAAATTTGGAGAGTTCGTACGTTTAATTCCCTATTTATATTTTATTTCTTCTTTAAATATTTAATTATTATACTACTAACGCTCTTAGATTCTTCTTATTTTCTAATCTTCTAATATTAATTGTATAGGGCTATTCCGGGGAATAGGAGATGTAAAACTACCGTAAAACGTACTATTTCTTAATATTATTAATAATTATTCTATAAAAGGGTATACTATAAAGTATTCGATTAGAGTATATAGAATAAATCGAATTAAACTCCTTTCTTTTTATTTAATTCTCCGTTCACTTTTTATTTAACCTTAAATTCCGTCTAATTTATTTATCCGAGGGTTATACTAATACCGGTAATAGGAGCCCTAATTTTGGTTATAGTTTATTAAGACTAATAAGGTTTTTAGACTTCTACTATATTTTAAATCCTTTCCTAAAAATTAAGTAAGGGAGACCTAATTCAGGGCGGTTATTATATAGTTCCTAAACCAATTTATTATAACCGTCTAAATTTGTTGCTAATTATTAGTCGGGGGGTAATAAATCTATTTAATTTAATAATATTAATTATTTCCGACCTTTTAATAATCTAAAAGGGTTTCGAATTCCTAGTACCTTTCCTCTACGAAGTCGTTAGTTCTAATAATTACTATACCCTTATTAACTTTTACATCCGTAATTAAATCTAATTATCCCGGTAGTCCCTCTATATAAAACTTAACCCTAAATATATTAATTATATAAGTAACCTTTATATTCATTAGTAATAATAATTCTAAGGAGTAAGAGTTTATTTTCATTACCCAGAAGGGGCCTTCGAACCTTAGTAATAATTTTACCATTAGCCGGCCCATAGTATAGTTCTCTATATTAAATATAATTATATCGCCTAATTTATATTTAGGGGCATCTATCCTCTTCGTATTAACTGCCGCTTCGTACCGGTCCTAAGCTTATTGTAATAATGCGATTAACTTATCCTACACTACCCTAAAGCGTTCTACAACTTTATTCGCTTTAAATATTTATTACTATTACTCTAATAATATATTTAATAGTAGTAGTCTTAAAGGCTCTATTCCCATCCGGGGATAAAATCTATAGTTAGTAAAAAATAGTAAAACTCCCGTAGTTACTAATTGAAAGTTATTACCTTAAAACTCGGCCAATACTAACCAATCAACCTAATTATTTTAGGCCCAATTAATAAATATCCGAAGGTACTACTCTATTTCTACATTAATCCTTTCTATTTAGCTATTTATTTTTTTATAGTATAGCGTAGAGAGTTTTAATTTAATCCCTAATTTGTTTGAGAATTATTACTAAAACGCGGATACGAATTATACTCCCCTATCCGATACAATAATATCTAGTAGATTATATAGGGTATAAATACGGTCGATAAACTTCTCCACTAATTCCTTAA